GCCGCTAGGCGCAGCAACTGCAAGGCTAACGGGGCCGTCAGCGTCAGCAGCAGCAGCAGCAGCAGCAGCAACAACAGCAGCAGCAGCAACAGCAGCAGCAGCAACAGCAGCAGCAAGTGCTGCTACTGCACAGCGGTACGCACCCCGAGCTGCAGGGAGATATCAGCCCCCATGCTGGCTGCTGCCCTGCACTGACTGGCGAGGGCCAGCCAGCAGCAGCAGCAGCTGCTGCTGCTGCTGCTGCTGGCTGCAGTGCTGCAGCAGGAATAAGCTGCTGCTGCGCGGCCTTGGGGCCTGCGAGCGGCAGCGCGAGCTCAGCTGCTGCTGCCTGCAGAGGCTGCAGCGCTTCTTCGAGTGCTGCTGCTGCTGCTGCTGCTGGCGCTGCTGCTGCTGGCGTCGCTGCTGCTGCAGGCTTTGCTGCTGCTGCTGCCTCCCACACAGCAGCAGCAACAGCAGCTTTCCCGCGCCTTGCTGCTGCTGCTTCGCCCCAAATGGCCCGCCGGCAGCAGCAAAGAGCAGCAAAAGAATTTTCGCCTGGCAGCAAATTGCTGCATGCATCTGGCTCGCAGCAGGAGTTTGCTGCTGGTGAGGCTGTGGGCTGCTGCTGCTGCTGCGCGCGCCTGCTGCTGCTGCTGCTGCTGCTAATGCTGCGGCTGCTGCTGCTGCTGCTGGGTCCCTGAGCTCTGGGATCGCCGTGAGCGCTGCTCAAGGCGCGGGGACTTCCAGGCGTGCTGCTCTTGCTGCTGCTGCTGCTGCTGCTGCTGCTGCTGCTGCAGCTACCTGCGTCTCGTTGGCGCTGTCCCTGCGCTTTTGCTGCTGAGTTCAGTAAACCCCTGAAGTGAAGCAGACAGCAGCAGCAGCAGCAAGCCGTTCCGTAGCAGCAGCAGCAGCAACAGCAGCACTGAAGCACCCAGCAGCACAAGCAGCAGCAGCAGCAGCAGCAGCAGCAGCAATAGCAGCAGCAGCGTATGCGACGGCAGCGGCTACCCGTACTGCAGCCACTCTTCATCTCCACTGCCTTCAGAGTCCTCCAGAGCAGCCAACCGAGCAGCAGCAGCAGCAGCAGCAGCAGCAGCAGCAGCAGCAGCAGCAGGTTTGTCTGCAGCTCCAGGAGCCACTGGGCCACGGCTGCGTAGGGTCAGCCCATAGCCTCCGTCGTCAGAGCTGCTGCTGCTGCTGTCGCTGTCTAGGCATGCTGCAGCAAGGTTCAGTCTTCTTGTTGCTGCTGCTGTTGCTGCTGCTGCTGTTGCTGCTGTTGCAGCTGCTGCTGTTGCTGCAGGGGAGGTGTGTGCCTTTGTCGAGCTCGCTGTGGAAGAGGCGACAATGCCATTGCTGCTGCTGCTGCTGCTGCTGCTGCTGCTGCTGTACTGTGCCTGTAGTGGCCATGCGGTGGACGGCGCCTGCTGCTGTTGCTGTTGCTGCTGCTGCTGCTGCTGCTGCTGCTCCATTGGGCTGTGTCGGCAGCAGCCCCGGGAACCCTAGCGGCCGCGGTAGCAGCAGCAGAGTTCGCTGCTGCACATGCATGGGAAGAGGCGGAGTTTGCTGCTGCTGTTGTTGCTGCTGCCGGCAGTTCTGCTGCTGCTGCTGCTGCTTGGGGGGTTGCTGCTGCTGCCTCTTCCTTTGGGGGGATCGCCGCTGCAACTGCTCTAGTGCTGCCGCTGCTGCTGCTGCTGCTGCTGCTGATGCGAAGCGCAGCAACTTCTATGCAGAGAACTGGTGGTCTTCTGGAAGCCTATACTCTAAAGGCTGCCGAGTCGGCTGCAGCAGCAGCAGCAGCAGCAGCAGCAGCTGTGTGACGGGCAGCAGCAGCAGCTGGTGTACAATCTTCTGCTGCAGTTGATTGTGTTTTCCCTTCGTTTCTGTTTCCCGGCTGCTGTGGCTCGCAGGCGTGAGCCGACTGCTGCTGCCGCTGCTGCTAGAGCTGCTGCTGCTGCTGCTGCTGCTGCTGCTGCGTCCTAGGGCTAGCGAAGCGCCTGTGTGGCGAGTCCTGCGGCTAATTTAGAAGAAAGAAATGGACAAAATAAAAATATAAATTAATTCTTGCTGCTGTTTGCATGCGGAGGCGGCTCGGGGCCCGTTGACTGAGTGAGCCTTCCGATGGCTGCGGGTGTCTTTGCTTCTTCTTTCCCTGCGTTTGAAATATTTGCGTCAAATTGGACAAAATTTTCAAGAAATAAAAGAATAAAAGCGTTCAAATGATGTATTTAACTCCAGAAACGGACCAACAAGCTTACTCAGGTGCACAATGCTGCTGCTGCTGCTGCTGTTGCTGCTGCTGCTGCTGCTCGCGCAGCTGCGAAGGACTGCGGTGCGGTTCCTGAAGCTGCTCATGTTGTTTCAGCTGCTGCTCCTGCTGCAGTTGCTGCAGACCCTGCTGCAGCAGCTGCTGCTGCCGCAGCTGCTGCTGCAGCAGCTGCTGCTGTTGTCCGCTGCTGCTGTCGTGTTGCTGCTGTTGCTGCTGCTGTTACTGCTGCTCTGCAAGTTTCGCAGCTGCTGCTGCTGTTTCTGCTGTTGCTGCTGCCAAGAGCATTATTGCTGCTCCGCCTATTGCTGCTCATTCACTGGGTATTCGTCTTGCCGCTGCCGCAGCACTTGCTGCTGCTGCTGCTGCTGCTGCTGATACTTTTGCTGCTGCTACTACGAAAGAACTACCTGCAGAAGCTGGTGCTGCTACGGGAACTGCTGCTGCTGCTGCTGCTGCTCTTGCTGCCACTGCGATTTTGTAGCTGCTTCGTTTGTCCTTCCTGGTGCTGCAGGAGTTTCTTTAGCTGCTGCTGCTGCACTCTATTGCTGCTGCTGCTGCTGCTGCAACAGCAATGCTCCCTGCTGCGGCAGCAGCAGCAGCTGCTGCTGCCGCTTTGGCGGGCTGTAGCTTTACACAGGGAACAGACACGCAGCAAGCTGCTGCTGTTTCTGCTGCAGCTGCTGCAGCTGCTGCAGCTGCTGCAGCTGCTGCAGCTGCTGCAGCTGCTGCAGCTGCTGCAGCTGCTGCAGCTGCAGCGGCTGCTGCTGCTGCAGCTCTAGCAGCAGCAGCTGCAGCTGCTGCCAAAGTGTTGTCTTGCTTTTGCTGCAGAGAAGCTGCAGCTGGTGCCTCTGCTGCTTCTCTCTCTCTACTGGATTGCTTTTGCCTCTTTCTTGCTGCTGCTGCTGCTGCTGCTGCTGCTGCTGCTGCTGCTGCTGCTGCTGCTGCTGCTGCCTCCCATTATTACTACTGCTGCCGCTGCTGGTTACTATTATTCACATTAATAATAATATTGTTATTATTATTTACGATTACTATTATTAATATTTTAATAATCACTGTTATCTATTATTATTATTTATGATGATTATTATTTATTATTATTATTATTATTATTATTATTTTTTATTGTTATTATTTATTTATTGTTATTATTATTGTTATTAATTATTTATAATTATTATTATTATTATTATTATTATTATTATTATTATTATTATTATTATTATTATTATTGCCACTTTTGCCTCTTTTGTGTTTAGCCTGCATAAAACGCATTTACTTCATTTAAAATCTTTTAAATAATTTTTGAATTATTCCTTTTATTATCATTTTAATTATTTTTAAATTATTATTTTAAATATTCTTTTAATTGTTATTTTAATTATTCTTTTAATTATTCTTTTAATTATTCTTTTTAATTCTTTTTATTATTGTTCTTTTAATTATTCTTTTAATTATTCTTTTTAATTCTTTTTATTATTTTTATTTTTCTCTCTGGCTGCCTCAGCTCGCCTTTGCCCAGCCCGCTTAAACTCTCTGTGCTCTCTGGCTTCAGCAGCAGCAGCAACAGCAGCAGCAGCAGCAGCAGCAACAGCAGCAGCAGCAGCAGCAGTGGATCTAATACTACTGCTAGTAATAATTGAAAATAACAATACTAATAATAATAATAATAGCAATAACAATAATAATAACAATAACAATAACAATAATAATAATAATAATAATAATAGACAAGAATAAAAATAATAAAAAGAATAAATAATAATAATAAATAATAAATAACAATAAGAATTAATAATAATAAAAATGGGGTAATATTTTTGTTCTTTTTTATCCTTTGTTTCGTTTCCACTGTAGACAAAAGCCCCAAACAGTGCATGCAGCACTACACAAGCTGCAGTAATGTTTTGCTGCTGCTGCTGCTGCTGCTGCTGCTGCTGCTGCTGCTGCTGCTGCTGCTGCTGCTCTTCCTTAGCCCCTCCTGGGCTGGGGTCTCCGCAAAAGGCAGCAAACGCAAGACTGAGGAAGGCAAAGAACCTGAGAAGAGAAATTCTTGCGGCTGCTTCCAGAGCTGCAGCAGCTGCTGCTGGAGACTGAGTTGCTGCTGCTGCTGCGACTTCTGCTGCTGCTGCTGCTGCTGCTTCTGCGGAGGCTGCTGCTGCGCTTGAGAGCCATGTCGCAGGGCTTTCATATGGCTTGCTTTCTGCTGCTGCTGCAATAATTGCTGCTGCTGCAGCTGCTGCTGCAGCTGCAGCTGCTGCTGCTGCATCTGTAGCAGCTTTTTCTGCTGCTCTTGCTGCTGCAGCTGCAGCAGCCGCTGCTGCTGCAGCAGCTTCTCCTGCAGCACGTCGGACTCCAACATAGGCTGCTCTTCCTGAGAAGCTGAATCCACCGATAGTAAAGCTGCGAGTTGCTGCTGCTGCTGCTGCAGCTGCTGCTTCAGTAGCTGGTGCTGCTGCAGGAGCTGCTGCTGCTCCTGAGAAGCCGACCCAATGGATACTCCAGCTGCAATTTGCTGCTGCTGCTGCAGCAACTGCTGTTGAAGCAGCTGCTGCTGTTGCAGCAACTGTTGTTGCTGTAACAACAGCTTTTGGCTCGGAAGTAGCTGCTGTTGCGAGACCAGTTGCTGCTGCGGGAGCAGCTGCTGCTGCAGCAGCAGCTGCTGCTGCTGAAGCAGTGGCTGTTGCTGCTGCAGCAGTGGCTGTTGGTGCTGCTGCTGCAGCCCCTCGTTCACCTTCTCGTTGGATAGTGCCTCTATCTGCAGCAGCTGTGGCTCCCGCGCCATCAGCTGCTGCTGCTGCTGCAGCAACTGCTGCAGTGGCTGCGGTTGTCGGAAGAGCAACTGCTGCAGCTGCGGCTGCTGCATCTGTTGCTGCTGCAGTTGCTGCTGCTGTGACAGCTGCTGCTGCGGTAGCTGCTGCTGCAGCTGCTGCTGTTGCAGCTGCTGCTGCGGGATTTGTTGCTGCAGTTGTTGCTGCTGCAGTTGCTGCTGCTGCAGCTGTTGCTGCTGCAGCTGTTGCTGCTGCAGTTGTTGCTGCTGCTGCTGCAGCTGTGGCAGCTGCTGCAGCTGGTGCGGGTGCTGCAGCTGCAGTTGCTGCAAATACTGCTGGTGGAGCTGCTGCTGCAGTTGCTGCTGCTGCAGCTGCGGCTGCTGCAGCTGCTGCTGTTCAAGTGGCTGCTGCTGCAGTTGTGTTTGGTGGAGTTGCGGCTGCTGCAGCTGCCATTGCTTGAGCGGCTGCTGCTGCAGCAACTGCTGCTGCTTGGACAACTGGTGCAGCTGCTTCTGCGGATACTGCAGCTGCTGCTGCTCCTGTTGCTGCTGCGACGCTTGCTGGGGCTGCAGCAATTGCTGCTGCGGATGCAGCAGTTGCTGCTGCAGAGAGAACATCGTCAAGTTGAAGGCTTCAGTTTGCTTGGCTGGTTCAGCAGCAGCATTGGATGTTGTTGGCTGCAGTTGCTGCTGCTGCTGCTGCTGCTGCTGCTGCTGCTGCAAACTATCTTCGTCAAAAGCAGCTTCTTCTCTGGGGCCAAGAGGCAGCAGAGAGAGCAAGGAGGAGCGGCCTGGCCTGCTTTTGCCGCTGCTGCTGTTGCTATTGCTGTTGCTGTTGCTGTTTCTGTTGCTGCTGCTGCTGCTGCTGCTGCTGCTGCTGTCGTCGACGAGCGGCAGGGGGGCAAACATCACTGAAGACAGCAGCGTCAGGGGGTCTCTAGGAAGGTTTTGAATTCCAGTGAGTGCTGCTGCTGCTGGTGAGGGGTTTCTGGGTTCAGATTTCTGCTGCTTCTGCTGCAGTTGCTGCTGCTGCTGCTGCTGCTGCAGCTGCTGCTGCTGCTGCTGCTGCTGCGTTGGCCCCTCAGTGGCCCCTTTTGTTTCTGCTGCTGCTGCTGCTGCTTCAGGCGGTGGAGGCAGCTGCGCTGTGGCACGATTAAGGGCAGATTTGTCTAGCGGGATGCCGCTGGAGATGTGTGCTGCAGCAAAATGCAAAGACCAGCAAGTACATTCCCAGCAGCAGTTGCAGCAGAAGCAGCAGCAGCAGCAGCAGCGGCAGCAGCAGCGGCAGCAGCAGCAGCGGCAGCAGCAGCAGCGATTGCATCGCTTGTAACATCAGGGAAGCAGGAGAGCAAGGTGATACAGCAAAAGAGCAGCAGCACACGCAGGAAGCAGCAGCAGCACCTGCGGCAGCAAACTGCAGATAGCACTGGCACCAGCAGCAGCAGCAGCAACAGCAGCAGCAGCACCAGCATAAACGGCACGAGCAGGAGGCAACACCATCAACAAGAACGCGAACATCAGCAGCAGGAGCAGCAGCAGGAGAAGCATCACCAGCAGCAGAACTGGCAGCATTACCGGTAGCAGCAGCAGCATCAACAGCAGCAGCAGCAGTTGCAGCAACAGCAGCAGCAGCAGCAGTTGCAGTAATCACAGCAGCAGCAGCAGCAGCAGCAGTTGCATAATCACAGCAGCAGCCGCAGAAGCACCATCACTAGCAGCCGCAGCCGCAGCCGCAGCCACAGCAGCAGCAGCAGCAGCAGCAGCAGCAGCAGCAGCAGCAGCGGCGGACCGGCGAGGACGAGTGCGGCGTAGACGTCGAGGCTGCCTCCGCATGCAGCAAACCCTTGGAGAGTTTTGGATTGTCTGCAGCTTTCCAACAAAGCCCTTTTGACTTCCAAATAAGTCAAATTCGGAAAAGCCGACCAAACAAGTCCTGCTGCTCCGGCCACGTGGGGGCACC